TATCTTTTGGTAACTGAGTTCTTTCTGAAACTATGTAAAAACAATTCTTAAGTAAAATTAGGATCACTTGTATTAATGAACTAGTTGTATTCCTTTATTCTAAATCAACATCTCTTTAAAAACTGCAGGTGGCATTCGGCTTTCCATACTATTTCTGATTTCTCAAAAAAAAAAATACTAGATCTGCAGAAAATAAAATGGGAAACATGTTGAAGAGAAAAACTATTCTGGAAGCAGGTAGAAAATCCCCTTTAGAATCCAAGTATTTCAGCTTCCATGATTCGTGTGTGTGTGTGTGTGTGTGTGTGTGTATGTGTGCTTCAATGGGCACATAGGCTTGTGTGCCACAAACTGGGTCCTCACTGTTATAATTGGGCCACTAGTAAGTCTCTCTTAGCCAATAAAAGTATATAGAATGTGATGTGTCCAATCCTTTGGGCTGAGATGCTTTCAAAAATAATTAGAAGGGGAGGGGGTATTTTAACCACCAAGGAAAATGTTTTACCATCCTGAATGTGAAACTTCTGATTTTTCAAACCAATTACATTAGGTTTCCCCCAGAGATAAAAAGGAGGGACGCCCTTCCCATCTGGAGGGCGGTTCCACAGGAAGTGCAGCTGGGGAGGCGGTGGAGAGGCTGTGCCCTCCGCACACCACCTACAATGGCATCTCATAGCCTGAATGAAGCTTCGGGAAAGGGGTACTGCATCTTGAAGCCAGACAAGAAGCCCTGAAGGGGAGAGGAGAGGGGAGAAAGGAGAGAGGGGGGTAGACTGGGAAACAAGAAATCATCTCCTCTGACCTCTAGCGAAGTGCCAGGTTTTTTCTTTAGCTCTTCACATTTTCTAAATTTGCAGATCTGGTGTCCCGTTTTGCGGTTCCTGCAACTGCTGCAGACGCCACAGTTGATGAGCCTCTTGCAGGGCACGCAGACCCCACACCTTTTCCTCTTCTTCTTGGCCGGGTTGGCTCCGCCAGCTCCCCCCGAGGAGGACGAGGAGGAGGAGGAGTGATTCTGCGGGCAGTCTGCCAGATTGGCAATTTGAAACGCACTGTCTGTGACGGCTGCTGAGGCTGCTGCGGGGGAGTGAAGGGCTGTCATGACGATGACCCCTGGAGGTAATGAGATGCCCCCTAAAGCCGGGATAGCGGAAAAAGTCCCCACGCGCTCGGGGAGATTCATTATCTCTGCTTCAGCAGCGCCGCATTTGAGCTTGTTCATGCATTCCCCCGCCAAAGGTCTGCAGTGTTCGGGGGATAAGGTGGAGAGGAAATTAGTATTTGCCATTTGCAACGACGGCTCTGGCGGGCAGCCAGCTTTCCCCAGCCTCTGGGAGTCGTTTCGGTGGTGCATGCTGGTCCTGCT